GCTAACCATAAAGATTGAATCTTTACTAAACTGTAAAATTGAGAAGTAAAAATCTGGGTCATATTATTTTGTTGACAATAAAATAATACAACCTTGGATATAATCATACAACAAACAAAGAGGGAAACAAATTAAAAACCTTAATCAAATAGAAAAACAGAATGAACTCGCATAAAACGCAACAACTCCAGAAGTGTAATCAGCAGGCAGCTTAATGGAAGCACTGAAAATCCCATGCTGATAGAGGTCTTGAGAAACAAATCCAGACCCTGTAAATATACATAGCCACCAAAAACCAAACAAAGACAACAACTTCAAGATCAAAAGACCCATAATATGCCACCAATTCATAAACCCAGAAACCAAAAAATAAAAACCCTTTCACATGATTCTCAAGACAGAAACCCAAAAGGGAAATGATTACAAACCTGTTCATTCGTCTAGTGAGAGATGGACGGATTTCCCATCTGTAAGGATCATCAAATTGTCAAGAAAAATAGCAGAAAATTTGAAAGCAAATGGGTAGCAATCAATTAAAAAACATACCCAATCACAGAACACAATCGCACCCAATTTTTGTGATAAAAAATAAAAAATTTCAGAGACTTGGAACCCAAAACAACAAAATCGATAAAAAAAAAAACCAATAATAATTTCAGATCTGCAAAACCAAATCGGTAATTTCAGATCTGCAAAACCAAATCATAGAGGAGCAGGATGAGGACGAGCAGGACGAGGATGAGAGAGCAAGACTAGGATGAGGGAGCGGGACCTGCAAGATGAAAACGAGAAGCAGGACAAGCGAACTCTTTCGAAGATGGTCTTAGCAATCCCGTCATATTTGAGGATGCTCGCGAAGAAATCTTAGCGAAGGCGATAGTCGGAGCGAGTCCGATTGAATCCCACTTAACTTAATCCCGCTGCCTAACAAACATGGGACCGGACTAACAATTAGTCCAGTCCAGTCCAATGAAAGTTTGTGAGCCCAAACAAACACACCCTAAGTGTTAGTGAATCTATCGTTTTGATGGGATACGCATTCTACGAAACTAATTTCAACGATCTAACTGTCAAACTTGTTCGTATATGCTTCAGGAATGCATATGCCAAAAATCATAAAAAACAAACATTCAAAGATCAAGTAACGGGACAAAACTTTTCGACGGTTATCAATGAAAAATCACGATTTAATGGCTATTTTAACTCCAATTTTGATAATTTTTTACAGCTACACTCATTGACCCTATATGAATACAATGAATGAATTCGATCTTCAATTTAAAATATTTACACTAGTTGAAACCACAAAATCTTATGTTATGCTTAATGAAAATATGAATAAACTTTTAAGCGTTAGTGAATGTATCGTTTTGCTTGGATACGCATTCTACGAAACTAATTTCAACGATCCAACCGTCAAACTTGTTTGTATATGCATCAAGATCGCATACGCCAAAAATCGTAAAAAACAAACATTCAGAGAACAAGTAACGGGACAAAACTTTTTGATAGTTATCAACGAAAAATCACGATTGAATGGTTATTTTAACTTTGATTTCGATGATTTTTTATAGCTACACTCCTTGACTCTATACGAATACAATGAATGAACTCAATCTTCAATTTAAAATATTTACACTAGTGGATACCACAAAATCTTATGATATACTTAATGAAAGTATGAATAAACTCTTAAGTATTAGTGAATCTATTGTTTTGATGGGATACGCCTTCTACGAAGCTAGTTTCAACAATCCAACCGTTAAACTTGTTTGTATATGCTTCGAGATCACATACGCTAAAAAGTGCAAAAAACAAACATTCAGATATCAAGTAACGGGACAAAACTTTTCGACGGTTATCAACGAAAAATCATGATTTAACAGTTATTTTAACTCCGATTTTGATAATTTTTTACAGCTACACTCTTTGACCCTATATGAGTACAATGAATGAACTCGATCTTCAATTTAAAATATTTACACTAGTGGATACCACAAAATCTTATGTTAAAAAAAACGTTCAGAGATCAAGTAACGGAACAAAACTTTTCGGCGGTTATCAATGAAAAATCACGATTTAACGGTGATTTTAACTCCGATTTTGATGATTTTTTACAGCTACATTCCTTGACCCTATATGAATACAATGAATGAATTCGATCTTCAATTTAAAATATTTACACTAGTAGATACCACAAAATCTTATCTTATACCTAATGAAAGTATAAATAAACTTTAAGTGTTAGTAAATCTATCGTTTTGATGTGATACGCATTCTACGAAACTATTTTCAATGATCCAACCGTCAAACTTGTTTGTATATGCTTCAAGACCACATACGCCAAAAATTGCAAAAAATAAACATTCAGAGATCAAGTTAAGGGACAAAACTTTTCAACGGCTATCAACGAAAAATCACGATTTAACGGTTATTTTGACTCCAATTTTGATGATTTTTTTACATCTACACTCCTTGTCCCTACATGAATATAATGAATGAATTCGATCTTCAATTTAAAATATTTACACTAGTAGATACCACAAAATCTTATGTCATGATGATAGATGAAAATTAAGGATTTTGTAAAAGGAATAACATGCAAGCTTTGAGTTCCATTGGCAAGGTTTAAACATTTGAGAAATGATTCATAACCTTGAAAACAAAAACTTTTTCATTTTGCATATCCTTGCACATTTAATATTTTGTAATAGACTAGTAGTGTACAAATGTTTGTTTATTAGGCTCTTATTTTCGAGTGTAGATATAGTGTACTTGAACGACAAATGTGTTTTAATGTTTTGAAGTAATATTTACGTGGCAATGTGTGGTATATGCAAATTTAAGAAAAAAAAATATTTTTCTTAACGGGTCATAACGGATCGGGTCACTTTACACCTGTTAAGGATCCGTTAAGATAATGGGTGTGACACGACACGACCCATTAAGATAACAGGTGTTACACGAAAACGATATGAACACAATCCGTTTGCCAAGCCTAATTCCCTCCATGAAAGGAATGAATATTTTATTCATAAGGGATTCGCCTGTTGGAAATGAACTTTCATTGACAGAAAACAGACAATACACCAAAAAATAAAAAGTACTGTAAGAGAGAGCCATGACTGAGGAATTGATCGATCTCAATAGACTTAGAACGATGTGAGTAGGGGAGTGACAGATGGGGGGGGGAGAGAGAGAACTGAGTAAGTAATCAAACTCAATAGCAGAAATCTAGAGAGAGAAAGTGGCAACTGTGAGAGAAGGAAAGAGCGAGAGGCAAAGAGAAACGACATCAAGAGAGAATAGAGATATGATAGTTAAGGCTGTAAGGATATAGATATAGACAGTGGCTAAGATTGTGCCATCTGTCACAAGATTATAATTCTTAGTTAGTTAAGTTGTTAGAGAATGTGTTCTCTCTATAAATACATCATTGTAATAGATTTGAGATTAAGCAAAACAGAAATAATAAAGATTCGATAGTTTTCTCTCTCTCTAAATCTTTCCCTCTCTAGTTCTTGAAGCTCTGTTATTCTCTCTTGATCTCTTCATTTTCTGTATTAACATGGTATCAATCGCCACTGATGCTCACGCTATTTTCTTCGATTCTTCGGCTGCTTCCGCTTGATCTCTTGATTTATCATCCTTTCTGTTTCTCGACGACGGTACATTGTTGCGTCTTGGTTGACTTTTGGTATTCTCTTATTCTGTGATTTCTAGGGTTTCTAGTTTTCTTATTCTCTTTTTTTCCTGCGAATTCAAGATTGTGCACACCAGGTGTTTATGATATTTCCTCTGTTGATTTTTCATCTCAAGTATACAACGATGGTTACTGTTTCTCAATTACAACTCCTTCAATCACCTATTACTGGTCTTATCTCTATGATTTCTACATCTGTGAATGTTAAGCTTGATGATTCTAATTACTTGAATTGGCAATTTCAAATGCAATTATTGCTTGAGGGGCACAATATTATGGGTTTTGTTGATGGCTTCACTCCTTGTCCATCTCGTTATCTTACTGGTTCGTCTAATGCTTCTGGTGTTGGTGCTGAGACATCTTCCACTCCATCGTGCTCTTATGCAATTGATTACTGCAACTTTGTCTCCTGTTGCGATCTCCTGTGCTATTGAAAGCACAAGTGCCTGTGATCTTTGGACCCGGTTAAAGGAACAATTCTCTGCTGTATCTAAAACTAATATATTTCAGCTCAAGTCGAATCTTCAAACCATTAAGAAAGGGGCTGATTCAGTGTCTCGATATCTCCAAAGAATTAAGGAAGCTCGGGATTACTTTTTGGCTGCTGGAGTGATCTTTGCAGATGAGGATATTGTTATTTTAGCACTCAATGGTCTTCCTCCTGAGTTTAATACTTTTCGAAGTGTTATTAGGGGTCGTGAGAGTGTTATTTCTCTCCAAGAATTCAGTGTGCAACTTCTTGCTGAAGAATTGATTGTTGACAGTAATGTGCCATCTCAATTTATGTCTACCATGGTGGCAAATGACTCTGGTGGTCCCACTAGTACAAAAAATACTTTGCGCGACGTAGGTACCTTCGTCGTGCAAAGTCCAAAGTCGTTGCGCAAGGGTTTGCGCGACGTACCTTCGTCGTGCAAAACCCGTCGCGCCAAGTCGGTAACGCTAGAGTTTGCTCGACCAAGGTATAACCTGCGTCACGCAAGGAAACTTTGCACGACGTAGGTCCTGCGTCGCGCAAGGCCACTTTGCACGACGTAGGCCCTGCGTCGCGCAAGGAAACTTTGCACGACCTAGGTCCTGCATCGCGCAAGGCCACTTTGCTCGACGTAGGGCCTATGTCGTGCAAAGTTTCCTTGCGTGACGCGACCTACGTCGCGCAAACCCTTTTCTTTTTTTTTTAAATGTTTTGGTCAAAACTAATTTTTTTTTTTTTAATTTTTGATAAATATTGTAAAGAATAATTAATTAACCAAGCAAAAGTATTTATTTATAAAATATATAAAAATATATACATACAAGATGTCCAAACAAAAAAGAAAAAAGTACAAGTGAACTAGGTTTAAAACATCAAGCTACTGAGTATCGGGAGGGTGAGGTGGCTCTGAGATCGAAGGTGGATCAAGATGAGGTGCTGGTAGCGAGACTTGTAGGCCGGCAGTCTGTATGGCTCGTACAAGGTCTCTCACCGTTGCAGCATAGGTCCTCACCTCCTCGCTCTGGACCCTCAGCTGCGCTTCCATCTGCTCGCCCTGGGCCCTCATCTGCTCGCCCTGGGCCCTCATCTGCTCCTTCATCTGCTCGCCTTGGACCCTCATCTGCTCTTCCTGGATCGCAAGCTTACCCCTTAAGGTTGTCACTTCATCCATCAATGATGTGTTCAATCTGGAAGAAGAGGCACCCGTCTCACGAACCCGTGATTTCCCCATACCCCGAACAACCTGGCCATGACGACGACCAAGGTTCTCATCCAGGACTTCAGTCATGATCTGAAAACCTACATCCTCTGGTACCATGACATCCTCGATCGAAGTCTCCGGGGGAAGCTGCGATGCTGCTTCTTGGAGAACAGCAGTGCTCTTTTCCACCATAGTATCCTGTAATAATAAAGAAAAAACATATAATGTTTAATAACAAAATATAAATAATATTTGAACGATTCATACATATAAGAATAATAATAATTACATATACTTACATAAAACTGCCCAGCGATTTCATTACCAGGTCGAACGTAAACGTCCTTGAACATGTCGATCGCTGGGAACTTAGAACCCTCCTGAAGAAAAAAAACATTAAGAAAATTTTATTAATAATAATAAATAAATTGTATAAAATTTCAAAGTTAATATAGTATTACCTGACGTCGTTCCTCAAGCCTATACGAAAAGGGCTTCGAACCAGAATGGTGGAGAAGTGTCTTTGACTCTCGAGCTATCTGGCCAGCAACAGATTTCTTCTGTTAAACACACAATATACATGTTAGTGCAACTATTTGAAATAAATTAATAAAAAAAGCTTTAAAAATTACTAAAACAATAATAAATTTTTATTAAAATATTATGCACATACCACAAAGTTTGGGTTCGTAAAATGCTTGCAGAGCCACTCCCAATCCTCTGGCCGGTCATTCAATTCGCTTGGAACATGTAAGCGAGCAATCTCCAGATTATCCCATATCTTAAAATGATTGTGAAAATTGTGCTTCCAATTTTTGTACCGGCTTGCTAAGGTCCCCTCTAAGTAGGCCATGACCTCGGGGGATGCGTCATCAAGATCATAAATGAACTACGAATATGAAAAATAATAAAATAATAGTAAGAAATTTAATAATATTAAAGATAATATATTTTGGTTTTTAATATTTGTAAACAAAATTAAAAAAAATGATAAAGGCTAAAAATTAATATACTAACCGACAACTCGTGTCGCACCAGTTCCTTCTTGTCCTCGGGAATTTCTGCCCAAGACTGCCACTGAAAAGGACAATTGTCTCGAATAACAGCACCACAGCTACTAACGATGGAGCTATTCTGCTGTGAGGTAGACGCTCCACGATGTCGCGGGTCATACACAATCTTGATCTTGGTGCCGGTCTGACGTACGTTCTGTTTCTGCTTCAGCATTCGACTTGGCCCCCTGGTGTTTTTTTTAGCTAGCCAAAAATACTTAAATGGTGAAAACCCTAAGCTTAAATTTGTACAAAAAATTCGACACAACCTCCCATAATAATATAGCATTTCCCAAAACCTTAAAACAATAAAATAACAGTAATTCACAACTTGCAACACATTTTCACAATCCAACTTATTTTCACCATCATAAAAATAATAGTTTTAAAATGAAAAAAAAATACAACATAGTGAGAATTAGAAAAAAATGTACCTGGCTGGGAGGCCTCACCCTCGACTCTGGATGCCGAGGAAGTGTGATCAGAAGGCTCCGGCTCTCGGCGGCGCCGGTGAGGCCGCCGTGCACTGAGCGGCTGAACCGACACTGATGATGTCGATGAGACGGGCACCTGAGACGCCGTAGAAGTAGCCTCAGCAAGGGGTGTAGGCTCTTGAATCAATGGAGCACTCATGGGTGGAGCAGTAGATGCTGACAATGCGGGAGACGCATTGGTCACACTCCGACGACGAGTGATCAACTGCGACATCTATACACTTTTTGAACCATAAAAATATAACATTAGAAACTAATCATTTCTTGCATTTGAAACGAATCACCACTTGGACTAATAAAAGTGAATATATTCTTGTGCCATGAAGTAAAGACACAGGAAAACCAAATGTACAGAAACACACTAGCAGTAATGCCCGCGCGATGTTGCGGGTCATCAACAGTGACATCATTTTTTCAGCAGGACATGATATTTTAATTACATAATAGAAAATAATAGAAGACAAAAATTGTAGAAATGAAGTTAATCATAATAACTCTTCACAAAAACCTACTTGGCAAAGATGGACAATTGGTAATAATAGAAATCATCAACAAAGAAATGTAGAAACAGATTAATAATCTAAAAGAAATGCAGAAACAGATTACAACAGCACATACATTAACAAACCAACTGAAAAGTTGCAAAATACCATAAACCTCAACTATTTACACCTTGCCATATTTATTTTTTACATCCATCAATTCGACCAACACATGGGTTCATCCACCAACAGCATAAAAAAAAATTTAAATCACAATTAAACTTAATACTTTATATCGAAATTTCCCTCTCAGTTTTTTATGTTTTCAATAGAAACCAAAACCAGAAAACTTTAACAAATTGGAGTCATTTGATTCATGTTTTTTAACAAATCAGAAACCCCTTTTAATCCAACAATTCTAAATACATATTAAAATTGGGATAAACAGAAACAGACTGGTAGCTAAATGAGAAAACAGCAGTGATAAAGAGAAATACTATTTCAACTAAACCTAATAGCAAACCAAAACACTGCATTGAAATCCCTTGACTCTATATTTGATCCCTATAAGCGTTCAAACGCTAACCAAATCACTGAGCCACTCTTTTCCTTTGAGTGCAAAACAAAGTAAAAAAAAGAAAAAACACCATTCAGTGCAAAGCTATTGAAAAAAGAAAAAACACAAAGACATTATCTTCTTACGTGTTTAAAAATGAGAAAAAGAGGGCAAAACTCCTTCTACTAACGTACCTTATATTGTAAAAGCAATAGAGGGGTTGACATGGTTAAGTTTGATGAAGAATAATCAAAATAAGGTATTTTCAATCGTAACTTTATTATTTGAACCAATAAAAAGTGAAAGAGAAAAGAAAAAAGAAAAAAAAAGGCAAAGCAAATTGCCTTTTTTGTGCCTCAAAGAAAAACAAAAAAGAAACAAACTCTCTGTATTGAACACACACGATGCATACCCATGAATCCACTGCAATTATGTAAGATAATCAACATTTTTACTGCAAGTGTTCAGTTTATTGTAAAGCATAGAACTTATGGTGAACCAACATAATTGGCAGAATTTTAGTGTTATCTATTAAACACTATCAAAGCGGAATGAAACCCAACAACGAATACACAATACCAATAACAAAATGATGGCGTGTGAACACCATGTAATGTTATAGACAGTCACACTGAACAAATCACCACTTATAAGGCATACGTGAACATTAAGACATAGCGGAATTCGACATAGGCTAAACCAACAGATAAAAAAACACAAAATATATCAGCCAAATAAAAAAAACCAACACTTTGTACAAAAAGATAATAGCTTTACCTCCTTCCAAGAACAGTAATTGAACTACAGCCAATTGGGTCTGTTGGGTGGCAATCGTGATACCGCTGCAACACAGAGTGGTACAAAATTAACAAAAATCTCAGCAAGACGAACAACAAAAATCACAAATTACATAACTCCAATTCAGTCTTCATGTCATTCCATATAAAATAATACACCAATTCTTTTCATACATCACTTGTTGGACAGTTAATTTCAGGATAATTGATTAAAAAAGAACTTATTCTATAGCCAACTAAACAAATTAGAATACCACTGAGAATAAGCATGTGTCCTCACACACGAAACACCACAGAGAGAGATTGATTGAATGGAAGGACATTTCTTTTTTGGTACAACGATATCCTAAATTACTCTAAATTTACGAAGAGATCTAAAACCCACCAGCAAGTAGGTAAACACACAAATCCGGCAAATGATTAGTTACATGCAGGAAGGACTGTCGCAACGAAACCATAAAATCTGCAAACAAAATATTGTATCGCAATTGCCTGTAAATCTCAAAGCTCTATAACAGAAACAGAAAACCTGAATTCATCAAGAACAAGATGCCAATCCAATGCAATTTGAGAGACATTCATACACAAAGGTTGCAAGATTTATTCCGGTACTTGCCCGAGTAACAAGGATCGCAAGTGCAGTATGTTAAGGATAGACGAAAATGACAACACACAACGTTAATCAGCTCCATACACTTCGTACAGAGCAGCTTAAGATATCGGCGTGCAGAGAGAGAATGAAATCTACAGAACTCAAATGCAATCAACTACAACACATGATCCAATTCTAATCATCAGAACACTCGCTCATAATACCAAAGGGTTATCGCTACAAAAGGGAAATTCCAGATTCAACTACAAAAGCTCCCTGTATGCAAACTAAAAACCTTACTCTCTTAAATAAAGATAGATATGGAGCACAAGCTGAATCCGTGATTCAGTATTCAGCCCTCCGACTAAATAAAACAATGTGAAACCCAACGATCGAGGCCAAATCACTTGCAAAGCATTTGCATATCAACACACAATATACATTGAAAACAATTTGGTGCATCGATGAACAAAAGTAGCAGCTATAACATTTCCATGACAGAAATTGATCACTGATAATCTTTATATGGAGGAAGAGAATCAACTTCTCAGCGGCCCTAAACCCTAAACACCAATAGCGGCGTTCCAACCCGTGCGATTTCACAAACTTGTCAGCGAAGGAAGAGAATCACAAAACACACATACATCAACAAAATACTCAGAAATCAACATGCAATTTGAGCCTAAACCCTAAATAACAAAAACCCATCGAAAGTTAGAAACCCTTACCTTGATTTTGGGACTTGATTCGCGTCGGCTTCGAGATTTGCGTGAAGGTCTGTCGTTTGGGTTCGAGATTGTGAAGAGAAAAGATTTGGGGTTGAAGATTTGTGAAGAGGAGAGAGGAAGATAAAGAGGGACGGTTGGGTTAGGTTCGAATATAAGTAGGAGGTTTCTGTGTTCAAGAGAAAGATGAAGAACGGCAAACTGAAAAAAATTGGAAAAATTGAAAAAAAAAGCGCCTATTTTTCATTATTGTACCGCCAAAATTATCAGACCTTGCACGACGATCATACTAAGGCGTCACGCAAAGTATTTATTTGGAAAAAACAATTATTATAAAAATTACTGAAAATGTGACTTTCCTCCTTTCAAATTCAAATTTTTTTAACATCCCCCACAATAATATATTTTTCTAACAAAAACCCACTATAAATTATTTTTTTCATATTTATCAGTCAATTTCTTAAGTATTATAAGTACGAAATAAATAAATTAAAATATACTTAGTAAATATATATACCGTTGAACTTCATGGGAAAAGCATCGTATGAAATTAACTAGTTTCAAAGATCAAACCGTCAAACTTGTTTGTATATGCTTTGAGATCGCATCAGCCAAAAATCGCAAAAAACAAACATATAGAGATCAAGTAACGGGACAAAACTTTTCGACGAATATAAACGAAAAAACACGATTTAACGGTTAATTTAACTCCGATTTTGATTATTTTTTACAGCTACACTCCTTAATCCTATATGAATACAATAAACTAATTCGATCGTCAATTTAAAATATTGACACAAGTGGATACCACAATATCTTATGTTATACTTAATGACAATATAAATAAACTTCAAAT